TACGTCCAATGGATGATGATCTGATTAGTCGACTATCAAAATAATGGTTTGTGGCAGCCCTAGTCAGCACGAGCACCCCGACTGGTCTGTAGCTGTACAGCCTCCTGCACAACAGAGTGTGCTGCACTGTGTATTCAGACACCGTTCTATCAGAACCAACATTAACTTCTTGAGTATTTGAGCTACTATAGTTTGTCTGTCAGATCAAACCACACGGGCCTGTCTTTGCTTCCCATGTGCATCAGTGAGCCTTGGTCCTCCGTGACCGTGTCACTGGTTCAACACTATTTCTTCCCACTGCAGACTGGGAACACCCCACAAGAGCTGCAGGTGTGTAGCTGCTCTGACCCAGTTACAAAATATTGACTTAGTCCCTAATATATCTCCTCCGTTAAGTTTTATAATACATGAAATGACTTTGACTCATTTACTCTGGCAGTGAATTTCAGTAAGAGCAGTACTCACAACCAAATCCAAGATGGATGTCGTGGTGTCGTGACATCCATCTTGCATACGTACCAAAACAAAAAACCCTCTGCAACATATTTCAACCTTCCTTGAAGTTTCAGCAGATTACAAAACCTCACTAAGTAAGGTGATGGAGCTCTAACTTTCCATAACCAAATACAGCTTCATCCGTTGGGTCTGTCTTCTCTGTTTTTGGTGATTTTTGTGTTAAATATGACTATTTAAGGATCTGCCGCTGACAGCTGACTGTTCTGAGCATGACTGCGCGTGTGCGTGTGCTCATTAGAGTAAATCCCTGTTATTATTGCTGCTTAGGAAACACCAGGAGACAGACGTACAAAGACCTGCGGCAGTCTGACACACACACACGCACATGCAAATACACACTTGTATTTCCAAAACTTCATTTCAGCTTATAAAATATAATTATCTTCACCTTCAATTATAAATCCTTAACAATGAAATCTTTGAATTTACTTTATGAAAATTGCTTCATTTAATCTGTGTAAACAGATTTATGTGACTACAAAACACACACACACACACACACACACACACACTTTTATGCACTGAGGCTGCGCACAGCTGGATTACTTTTGCACTTTAACTACTTTCAGCAGGATACCAGTGTGTCACACATCCTATTGTAGAGGCTTGACTCCTTTGTGGAGATTAAAAGCAATCCCCGTTAATGTAATCACTCCATTTAAGAATGAATACCTGGTTTAAGGTTCATTTTAAGTTAAGTCTCCAGGAAATGTCCCCTGCAGTGATGGAAACATGTCTACACGTGTAACACGCTGACTCACTGATTCTCCGTCTGCTTGTCTTTGATCTGAAGGAAAATCTTGAAAAGGTGATCTCACCTTTATCATGACTCTATAAAATGACACACTCATCATTGTTGTGCATTATTATACTGAGTGTATAAAAGAAGCTTGTTTTGAAGCGTTCTCATAGCGACCATCATTATCTGAATAATATTTTGCATTGCGGTGCAAACTAAACCACAACCTGTAGACAAATCAGGTGTCCGCAAAATGAGTGTGAAAAGCTCCGATGTGCACGTATTTGTGGCTCATCAGTCACAAAGCTGCTTTTATAAGCTCACTTCAAACAAACAATCAAACTGAGGAGGGATGGATGGTGTGCGGAGGCTACTGTCATGTTCGTTCATTCATTTGTTTACTCGGCTGAATGCCAGTGGGCAGGTACACAAATCAGGTTTAGTTCACACTAGCAAAAGTTTATTCACCTTTAGCTGACAAAGCCGGAGGTAAAGCAGAAAGAAGCGAAACCTTTTCTTAGTTTTTATTAGTAAATTCGGTTTTTCCTGCTTCTGTTTTTCCCTCTTTTCCTTCCTGTTTTATCATTGTCCTCTTCCTTTTCATTTTGCCTTTTTCCTTCCTTTCCTTTGTCTTTTCTTTCCATCTCTCTTTCTGCTGGCATTTTCCAATCCTCTCTTCTTGTCTTTCTTTAAAAAAAACTGTCCCTAGTTTTGAAAAAATCCTCCCTTGCCTCCCTTTTTGTTTTCTTTTCTCCCTTTTTTCCTTCTGCCACATGTCCTTCCTGTGATTTCCAGACATCCTCTTTATGTTTCTTTCTACTCTTGAGGTGGGTTTTCTTCCCCCCAGTGATACCAGTGTAGCTACAAAAACAGCCAATCAGTCCCTTTGTCTTTTTTTTTGCCCGCCTGTCCCGTTTGGTTGTTTTGTCATCATAATTGTTGTCTAAAGGCCGAGAAAGATGCCCAGCGGATTTACTTTACCAAGTGCACCATCCCGGCCTTGCCGTACTGGTCCATTTGATTGACCTTTGTTTTTATTGTTTATTTTATTTTATTTTCAGTTGTTACATACGGGACAGACGTGACTGGGGGAAGGGAAATGGAGAAAAGAGGGAGGGAAAGAAAAACAGAGGAAGAGGAACGCCGAGTCCCTTTGTCTGCCTGTCAGGTGTGTGCATGTCTTTCAGGACGTTCGTGCTCTTGATTGCTCCATTCACACAAACTCAGGTGTGTTGACTCAGCCACTGAAATGCTCTGCACCCCTATGAGTGACCACATTTTAAGAAACAACAGTTTCAGGACTGACATACAAAGGCCTTCACACAGTCTATCTAAATAAACCCCCAATTTCGTTAGCTTGCTGCTATTAAGAGATTCACTTTTAATTTGCTTACATATGATGGTAGAAAGTCAGAAATCTGCAGGTGCGCCCAACAGCAGTAGATCAGAGATGTTGATTAATGCATTGATCTGAAACTGAAATAAGAGCTATTTATTTAAAGGAGCAGCAGTCTAAGCAGACTAGACCCCATCTCGCAAGAGCCATGAGGCCTTTTCCCAGTTGGATATGTCTGAAACACCTCATCTAGAGGGCACCCAGCACACATCCTGGTGCTTGAACCACCACAACTGCATCTCTATTCTGAGCTCTTATTAACGACCAAGGCCCTCGGCCAATCGAATGCTGAGTGCTGCATTTCTCCTGTTTGTGTCAATCTTATTTCATCAGTCACACTCGCAGCCATAGGTCAGAGTAGGAACAGAAATTGAGGGCTTTATTTTCAAGCTCAGCTCTTTTTTTAACCAAAAGAAAAGAAAAAACAGCATCCATATGCCTGCATGTTTTCATGTCAAACTCCATCAAAATATGAAACAAAGAAAACAAAAACTCCACGAAAACGATTCACTGACCTAAATACCGCTCACTATCATAATACTTCATAAAACTGAATTCATTTCAGGCTTCCTTCCATCCCAGAGATTTCCCCTCGACTGGCTTTGGAACGCCAGCAGAACTGGAGGCAGCGGCCGGATGGAGGTCTGGGTGGTTCTGCTTCGACTGCACCCAGTCAGGCGTGGAGATGGTTTGATTGATAAAAGTCCTTTTTAACTTTGCTTCTTTGAGATGGAGAAAATTTTAAATGCAGCAGTTTTAACAGTATTTATGTCAAGGCAATTGTTGTTTTTTGTTTTGTTTTTCTGTCCCTCCTTCTTCTGCTGCAGAAGGAGAGACATTTAAATATGGATCCAGGTGTTTGAATAAACACAGATGTTTTCCACGTTTCCCTCCCAGAAAACAGCACATGAACTGGCAGGCCACAGATTTCAATGATGCTGAGTGACAACTCAAATCTCGGTTACGCCTTTCAGTTTTTGAACCGAGGAGACCAGATCCTTTTCCAAAGTGACTTTAGTCATCCTTGTTGGGTTTTCTCTCTATTTTGAAGGGTCTTTAACTTACAATATAAAGGGCCTTAAGGTGACTGTTGTTGTGATTTGGCGATATGTAAATAAAATGGGATTCAATTCAAAAACATCTTTTATTCCATTTTTTTAATTTTTGCTGGAACCCATAACTGAAATTAAAATGTAATCACGATGAAACTGCAGTTTTTGCTTCTGTAAAAGGTAAGAACGGGTATTTTACCAAAAAATGGCCTAAAACACTCAAAAACAGCCTGAAGCATCTCTGCATATGTCCTTCAACTATTCTTGTAGTAGGGAGTGCCCCTGTCATTTCCATTGTTGTTTTGCATACCAGAAAAATTCTAGTTTCTTCATGATGTTTCAGCTCATTGTTCTCATTACTCACCACCTGCTTTGAATTAGTGTGCAGGGAGGAGATGTTTCAACATTTATGTAGCGTTCCCCTGTCACATGATCGCAGGCTGACACGTCGCTCTCACAATGTTTATTTAGTAGATCTTTTTCCTTGGAAGGAGACAACTAACTAATCTCTCTGAGAACGCGAAGATGACATGTGTCTGCAGTGTGTTGTTAGTAGTTGTACTTTACTACCTCAGCAGCTCAGTGCTTCTGTTTGAATCCTGTTTGTGTTGATCCAGCTGAATTTGACTGTAGGGAAACCAGTAGGTTCATCCACTCATACTTCACTCACTGTCTCACCTGGCAGGAACTCCCTATTCAAATGTCTCAAAGTAAAGAGTGAACAGACGCCACACACATGCCAAAACATCAGAATGTGGCCCTTAAGTATACAAAACAAAGAAATCAACAACTGTGCCACATTTGGCTTATGAGTGACATGAAAGGAGATTAGATTAGGCCTTTGTGCTCTTTGTCATTTTCATGCAAATACTTGCAGAAAACAAAACAGCACCATCCCCATCTCGGTTCATGGGGAAAATAATCCTGCTTTTGATTGATTCCCTTAGTATATGTATATGACAACAGCTTCATAATGGGACCTCAGTAATGAATGGTTGGCATCATGGTGACTACATCCACCTTAGTGGATGGAAACCAGGTGGCCTTTTATTTTATCATAAAGATGCTGAATGGGTATAAAGTTGGTGCTCACTGAAGCCCACTCAAGTTGTTCCACACACTGGAAAAAAAACAGATTGGTGACATAAAGTTGATATCAGAAATACCGAAACTAATGGAGTGTAGAGAAAGAAACTGCTGCCACAAATTGCTCAGAAACTGGTCAGAAGACACTAAAGCTAAATGATTTTGTTTTCTTAAGTTCAAATGTTCTGTAAAGTGCAACTGTTATTCTAATAAGGGATTTTGTATCATATGCTCATATTTCTCTATTTATTTATTTATTTTTTGTTTTGTTTTGTTTTATTGTCCCATGTCTGTTTTTGTTCTGGTCAATCTCTATCATTTTCCTTCTATGCTTTCCTGGCCACGTCTCCCCGGAGAGAGATTTTAATCTTAAAGGAGTTCCTGTTTAAATAATAGTTCAATAAAACGTGAAAACAACTGTGGGTTAAACCCTCCATCAAACGGATAAATGTTCAACTCTGACCGTGTTTTTGTTCTCTTTCACTGCAAGACTTTGAAGTAGGTCAGGTTCCTTTTGTTTGATTAAAGGGTGGAGGAAGTGCAGAAATATTTACTTTTCTCTTGTCTAAGATGCTAGCGTGGGCAAACTACTGAGCAGTTAGCATGTCGACGTTAGTGTGTAATGCTTATCCAAACCACAGACGTTTGGGGACTTGACATCATTGATATTGTTTTGATATAAAGGTTACGTAGAATGAAAATATGGATAATTGTTGTGGTTACATTTTTACAGATGTATATTTTATAGTGTGGGACTATACTAAAAATGTTTTATTTGGGCCCAGGAGATTTCTTTGTTACAGTACTGTAAGTGGACACTAGGATAAAATTCAAACTTTTTGAATGTATACTAGAGCAGCGGTCCCCAAC